TGGCCGGCGTGGATATCATTACACATGCTCCTCTGGACGGAGTCATGAACGATGACGAAGTGCGGCAGATGGTCGAGAACAAACGTATTAGTGTCCCAACGCTGATCATGTTGGAGTCTGTTTGTCAGATGAAGGGTATTGATCAGGAGAGGCCGGGCTTTGCCTTTGCCAACGCACTCAAGACGGTGATGTGCTGCACCATGCGGGTGTACCTGTTTTAGCGGGCACCGATGCCAACAACGTCTTAGGACGCGGGATTCCTCATGGCACGAGTCTGCATCAGGAACTGGAGTTGCTCGTAAGTTGTGGGCTGTCCACAAAGGAGGCTCTTCAGTCGGCGACGATACTTTGGTACACTACTTTGGTCGGCACACTACTTTGCCGGCACACTACTTTGGTCTGAAAGACCGTGGAGTTATCAAGCTAGGATATCGCGCCGATTTAGTCTTGATTGATGGAAACCCTATCGATGACATCAAGGCTACCCGATCAATCAAGAAGGTCTGGGTAGCCGGTCAGGGATTTGTTCCTTCAACGACCAAATGAAAAAAGTGGTTGGCGGCTGGCTGATTGCGGTGCCAACAGACATAGGGTCCAACCATCTTTGGTACTTTTCATCCATGAACCACTTTTTTGACAGGGAGGACTTGTGCTTGTGCGGTGTGGTTCAGTAGACACATTGGCAGCGTGACGAGGTACTGCCCTCTGGTAAGCTCAGATCTTTCGGCAACTAAACAGTGAGGGATGCCCGTACCAGTGCCTAAACAAGTCTGCCGCTGTTGACGATCTTTTGCCTCGAACCCAACGAGATCAAGTAGTTGAATTTGCCTCCACACGTCATCTCAGGCCACCAAAAGCACTTAGCGCCCGCTTTCCTTCTCGGTCATAGCGTCGTCCTGTCTACCCCCAAGTCCTCTCTACCCCCGGGTGTCAGGTCAGGTCAGGTCTGCAACTGGCTTCGGACCTGGGATGGTGTTTGTGAGGCGAGCCCGAAACCGGGAAAAGGGACACGTTGCAGAGGTTTGTGCGTTCGTTTGCAGAGGTTCGTCCACAGGTATGGTAGGCAGTCGCAGCGGGGTGCGGTCACAGCTAGTGCGTCTGAGCTGTTTACGGTCGGTGTTGTCGACTTGCCCCTCCCAATACTTCACCGACACCACCAAGCTCTGTCGCTAGCACCAGCTGAATTTAGTCGCTGGCAGAAAAAGTGACTAGCGGCGGCTGCGTCGCATCCAGGCTGGGAGCCGGAGACGGCTCGGCCTACGAGACAGCGCGGGCGGTAGCTGAGACGGTTTGCACCGGGAGATTGGGAGCTTGAAGAGGGGCTCCCCGTGGCCCAAGCAGTGTAGTGTTGTATTGTACTTGGCCACCAAAGAAGCGAAGTTACCGGGGGGGTCCCAAAAGGGTTCGACTGCGACCAGGTTGGCGCCGTCGAATTGACGTGCTTCGGCCACCACATCGCCGTGCCTACCCCACCAGTTCCAGATTTCTTGTTTCAGACTTTGCGGAACTGATTTGTCAGACTGGGGCAGCTCAGTGACGCGCATCACAAAGTCAGCCATCGATACCAGCAAGTATGACCACCACCGTACATTTTTATCTAAGACCTCCGCCAGCTCAACCATCAGCACGCTCTCTTGAGAATTTGTCGACAGATTCTTAAACTCATCCCTTTCAACTCCCTCCAACAGACACTCATCCGGAAGCTGCTTCAATACTCTAACCAGCTCCAGCAACGGCGTGTGGCGCCCTTGTTTTTCACATGGACCGTTCAACTCATACATGGCAAAACACTCATCCAGCAACGTCGCGTCCCTCCATCTCGCATTAAGAAAGACCGGGAAGACAACCCATCCTAGCCTCACCGAATCCTCCACCTCGTTGTCGATATGGAAGTGCTTCATCCTCCACCGTCTGATAATAAATCACCCACGCGTGTCCGGATACATACTCGTCCCCCGGTGATGCCAAAACGGACGCGAAATACCTCGTCACGACAGCTCAAATCTGGGTGCTTGCTTCGTTCCTTCGTTCAAAAACCACTCACTCTTCCCACTTTTCTGTCAATCGAACTACGATCACAATCAAATCAAGCTACATCATTGACCGGTCGCACACAGAGCCAAACCGGAGCTCGTCTATACGGCGGAGAAACTGAAGAAGGCGCGCTGGAGGAGAAGGCGCGCTGGAGGAGAAGGCGCGCTGGAGGAGAAGGCGCGCTGGAGGAAGAAGGCGCGCTGGAGAAGAAGGCGCGCTGAAGGAAATGAAGAAGGTGGTAGAGGAGAAGGAGGAGCTGAAATAGGAGCTGGAGCCGGTCTTGGATGCCGATTGAAACGCCAGGTGCCCTTCCCACAGAGTCTGCGGAGGTAATAGTCGATAGTCAGGCGGCCTTCAATGACGTGTATATTCAGCTACCGGGATGTACCTCGCACGCCTGCCCAATTTGTAGCAATTATGCAAGGGGCCGCCGATGACGAGGCAGGTCAATTCATGTTGCATTATATCAGTATGGGCGAAAGCCACAATAACTAGGACCAAAAACTTTGCCCCGTTGGAAACGATCCTTAACTGCCAAAAAGGGACCGCTAGTGATGTGGTCAACCATTTGATGATGTGTTTAGCTTGTTACCTGACCGAGGTTTGCTCGGATGACCGCATAATCGGCCGTGCTCTGACGGTTAGTTTCAGTACCAACTGGACCTCTGGTCGCCGTCTTACCCGGTTGAAGAGCCCCTGCCGTCCTTGTCAATGCCCTCGGCTAGGAACACACTAAGCCAGGCGGTTGCGGAGTTCAATACCCGTTTCTCGATGCCTTACGTTTTAGTTCTATGTGATGAGGCTGCCGCGCTAGATGTTAATGTAGTTGAAATTTAGAAGTTTCGTGCGCCGAAATTCAGACCCCGGGCAAGGAT